GGCCTGGTCACCCCCAACTGCCCTCCCCTACAGGCCTGGTTGCTCCCAACTGCCCTCCCCTGCAAGCCTGGTTCCCCCCAACTGCCCTCCTCTGCAGGCCTGGTCCCTCCCAACTGACCTCCCCTGCAGGCCTGGGTCCCCCGCAACTGTCTTCCCCTGCTGGCCTGATTGCCCACAACTGCCCTCCGCCTGCAGGCCATCTTGTGGCGGCCATCTTGTGTGTTGGAGTGATAGTCAATTTGCATATTACCTCTTTATTAGAGAGGATGCTTCGGCAATTCTATATGCAACAGGGGGAAATCTAAATGTAGCATCATGGCAGTAGAAATGGTATGAGAGACCTGTGATGGAATCTTGTTCTGCTCTTATATTGCCATGACCTTAGGCAAGTTAATGAATCCCTCTAAGATTGTTTTCTCATCTGTAAAACAGGTATGGTACTTACCTGGGAGACACATAATGAGGACTAAATGGAAGTAAAATTTATAACAGCTATAAGCACAGAGCTTAGCAAATAATGTGTCTCAAGAATGTTATGTTCATTATCCTCTCTCCTTTTGAAATACAGTTAATCTTATTTGGCATGTAAATATTTTTAGATTTGGTTTTGATTTAATTTTTATTTGGGTATGTAAATATTCAGGTTTAAGTAACTATATGGTTCTACTAATTCCTTTTTGAGTGTTTATTTTACATACTGTTAAGTGGCTAACATGTTTTAGCTCATTTAAACCCTGTAAGAATCACATGTGACCATTACTCCTCTTGTCCCCTTTGTAAAAATGAAGAAACTGAGCCACAGGGATGTTAAGGACCTTATTCAAGGTCACCCAGGTATTAAGGACAGAGCTGATATTCAAACCCTGTGCTATGCTATCTCTCTAATATAATTTATATATTTTCACTCTCAACTAAATTTTAATAGCTTCAAAACTCAAAAATCTCATCAGTTCATATCTGCATTATTTAAAAAATGATGGCTATTAACAATAAGTTACCACTAATTAAACATTTGTAGAGAGCTATATTATCATAGAATGCTAAGGCTGTTTTAAGAAATAGCCTGATAGCTAAATTAGGTAAATGAGATTTCAGGAGCACTAATTAAATTATGTATGTTAATTATTTGAATTCCTGGTAGACCAATGCAAATCACTAATTTGCAAATGAAACAATTACCATTTACATGCCAACAAAATTCACTATATTTCTGCTATCTAAGTACTAGATGAAGAAATATGCTACAGTGGGTAAAAGTTTAGATTTTGGAGCTGGTCAGCCATGGGTTCAAATCTTGGAATTGTCATTTAATAGCTATGTAATTTTGGACAAGATATTTAATCTTTTCAACGATCAGTTTCCACATCTATAAGTACATTTATAAGAGAATTGTTGGGTAGATTAAATGAGAAAATGCAGGCAAAGCATCTAGTATGGTGCCTGGTAATAAGGACGCAGTACCTGTTATTTTTTTATTATGTGGACCTGGGATGTTGTCAGGTTGAAATACTTGGGGCAAGCAAAAGAAAACTGGTAGGAAAATGAAGTGAAATGTTGCTTAACTCTCTCTACCTTCGGAGTAAGATGAAAACATCATCCCAGAAGAAAAACCTATAATATATACTATAAGAATGCAAAATAACATATTATTTCCTTGTTTTTACTTCAACATTCATATTGTTATAGTACCATTAAATTCTATGTGGGTAATGAAATCTTTGCAATTCTCCTTTAAATTGTATATGCATAATGATTTATATTAACCTGTTAATGAATCTCATGGAATACCACAATAGGAATAAAATTATTTAATGAATGTAATTATGGCTACAGATATGTAATAACAACATTTGATATAAATATTGGTATCAATACATATAATACTGCAGCAATTTTTCTATATAAGAACTTTAAAAAGTTTTCAAGAAAGGAACAGCCCCGAAGTTATAGACTTTATTGTTTTCAACATAAGTAATTATCTAGAAAACCCCCTGAAACTATTATAAATTATTCTTACCAGCATTGCACGCTTTTCTTCATCTCCTTTAGTTTCTCTCTTTTCATTTTTTTTCCTGAATATCTCTTGAAGCTGGAAAGAAAACCAATCAATATCAAACAAGAGTTTCTGGGTACCTACCTACTTATCTGTGGGTTGCTGATACCAAAGAAAATACAACCTTTGGTACCAGCAACCCACAGGTAGTAAAGTACATCTATAAGTTTTATTATAGTTTTATTTTATCTCTAAGGCACAAAGACTTGGAATTTATGGCACAAACATAAAAAGAGAGGACGCCCACTGGGGTATAAAGAACATTGGAGTAGAACTCAGGGTCTCTGGTTTTGAGCCCACCTTCTGTCACACAACAATTCTAAGGTGGTGGACAAGCCACTCAACCCTCGCAGGGCTCCAATTTGCTCATATGTCAAATTAAGATGGACTAGATGACCTCTGAGGTTTTTTCAGGTAACTGAGCATTGTGATGGGAGCATGGGCTCTGCAAGTATAATCCTTGAAAAAGTTACTCTCATTATTTAAGGCTTGTTTTCCACATCAGGAACATAGAGATAATGCCTTACCTTATGGGAAATTTTTTTCCTCTGGCTTTATGGAGGTATAATTGACAGGTCTTATATGAATGGTGTGCAGAGTAAATATTATTAAGTAATTACTTAGCACATTGCCTGTCACACAGTAACTCTAAGTGTTAGCTATTATTATAAATATTATTTCTTCTCTAAAATCCTATTTTATAAATGGAAGCCTAAGTTTTCTGGTAAGGTTATTGTTCTTATCTGTGAAATGTACACAGCTATCTTAAATTGTATGCGGGCCCTTTTTGCTAATTTTTTGCGCAAATGGCAACGTTCAGTAAAATTACGATAACTTTAGTTTTACATACTTTTTTTTCAATGAAACTTTTTGTGATTTACTATAAAATGTATACTGAATTATTTTTCTTAAATTTTAAACAGACAAATACTGAACTCACTGGTTTTCCACATCAGGAACATAGAGATAATGCCTTACCTTATGGGAAATTTTTTTCCTCTGGCTTTATGGAGGTATAATTGACAGGTCTTATATGAATGGTGTGCAGAGTAAATATTATTAAGTAATTACTTAGCACATTGCCTGTCACACAGTAACTCTAAGTGTTAGCTATTATTATAAATATTATTTCTTCTCTAAAATCCTATTTTATAAATGGAAGCCTAAGTTTTCTGGTAAGGTTATTGTTCTTATCTGTGAAATGTACACAGCTATCTTAAATTGTATGCGGGCCCTTTTTGCTAATTTTTTGCGCAAATGGCAACGTTCAGTAAAATTACGATAACTAGTTTTACATACTTTTTTTTCAATGAAACTTTTTGTGATTTACTATAAAATGTATACTGAATTATTTTTCTTAAATTTTAAACAGACAAATACTGGAAAACTCACTGGAAATTGTGTTTACCAGTCAACGTAAAACGTATAAATACGTTTCCCGCATCCAATGTGTTAACTCTCCATTTCATTTTGTATGGCAATAGTTGAAAGTCAAATAAAATGTATTACCTTCCAAAATATGAAATAAAAATACAGTACAAAATATAATTTATTAACATGTAAGTTCATTTTCACACTTTTTCTTAGTGAAAAGTGTTTTTCGTTTTGTTTTTTTTTTTAGCAAAGGTTAATAATCACTTTGTAAATGGGCACAGGAATCGGACTTTAAGCCTCTATAAATAACAGCCAAACTCCACCTTCTGCTTTCAGAACTCTTGCTGTTTGCAAACAAACATCATACATGAGAAAGCAGTACAGCCACTGCAAAGAGTAAACCACAGCTTTAAAGAGAGGGCAGCTTTAGTGAGTCTAGAGTGGAAACAGAAGTTCTACATAAATGTTTTTACTCCCATCTCCACAAATGGATAGTATTCCAAAAGACACCTACTATACAGGCAACTTCCAATGGACTGAGTTCCAAAAGTCAATCTTTAAGTCAGTGGGGTGGAACCTGGCAGTGTTGCCACAGAAAGCCTAATGATAATTATTTAGATTACTAGGCCCATTAGGAAAATCCTAAAATACAGTTGTACACTATCATAACAAAACTATATTTAAAACGAAATCTGTACATTTGAGAATGTTAAGAACATAGCTCTGTCTTTGCAATGATATTGAAAACTCTCACTGCCCTACCATCCTGAAAATGAGGGGTCTTGCATGGCTCCAGCTCCAAAGGCGTGGCTCAGGGACTGTACTCAGGAGCGAGGACTACATGGGCATTAGATTAAGCGTTTTGATAGATACCAACAATTATTCTGCTTGCTTCCTTTCGAATGGTTACTAATTAGCTTTTGATGAGGATTTTTATCTCTTGTCTTTCCTACCATGGAAAAAAACGATTTCATGGTTTCTCTTCCATGTTCCAGCCTCTGAAGAAAATTGTATAGAGGTTTCCTGAGGAATTTTTAATGG